GGTGGAGACCATGGACCATTTTCTGCTTCATTGCCCCTTTAACATAGAGGTATATGAACAGGTGGGGCGGGGCCTCGGTGTTCCTTTCCTCTCTAGGCTGAGTTATGCCGAGTGGGTGTACGGAGCATTCAATGCTGGAGGGGGTTTTTGTTTGGATACACTTTTTTTAGTCAGCCTAGTGGTCCGTTATTTCACGTGGAATGCACGGTGTCAGGTCTCCATTCGGCATAAAATCCTTCCTGTCCAGGTGGTGGTGAGTGACATTCTGCATGCGGTGGGGAAGATTCGGGTGCTTGAGAGAGACAAGTGGAGGCAGGGGGCTTGGTTGAAGGCGTGGAGGGGTATCAGGCCTCCCTGACCAACAGGAGTCTCTCCGGGTGTGTGGCTGTCTTGTCTCTTATCACCCTAGATTTTGTTCTTTTTAAGATTTTTGAAAAATGTCTGCGTGCATAGGTGACGGGTTGGGCCTCTTAGGCCTTCTCTTGAATTAAAGTGAGTGAAATTACCCAGCATGCACTGCCCCAGCGAGGATTGTGAATGTGCACAGCGGAGGGCTCGGCTTCATGGTGACTAATCTACACATCACTAAAATCCCGAAATAAGCCGACTCGGAGTAATCCTCATCAGGACGTTGTGAGCAGCTGGGCTTAAAGGGTCACGCCACCCAAAACTCATTGCTTAGTCTGCAGTAGATGCTGAAGAGTCACAACACCCGACACAACCTGCCGCTTCCAAGAACAGTGACGTCATATCGCACCTTACCCGTCCTAAGACTTGACGGCGGCATTAGTGGTCAGGCTCCTCCCCCTCCTTTGTCACCCGATAATGCTGCCGGTAACACCTCCTCTCTGAAGGTGACAACATTCACTGTACTGAATCTTTGGAGGATCAGAGAGGTCACCCTAGGACAAGAAGTGCATTAGTACTACAAACACCTCCCCATCTATTAATTTCTATAACATACGTGAGGAGGCATTTTGTAGTCCACAATCTGTGCAGTAATCCAGTGCGAGACTTGGAGCGTTCTGTAGTAAAGACCGGTCACTGCTGCGCGCTCTCTCCTTGTGCTGGGTGACTGGTCTTGTCTTCGCCCCTCCTGTAATAAAGACCGCTCACTGCTGCTCACTCTCCTTGTGCAGGGTGACTGGTCTTGTCTCCGCCCCTTCTGTAATAAAGACCGCTCACTGCTGTCCACTCTCTTTGTGCTGGGTGACTGGTCTTGTCTCCGCCCCCTCCTGTAATAAAGACCAGTCACTGCTGCCCACTCTCCTTGTGTAGGGTGGCTGGTCTTGTCTCCGCCCCCTCCTGTAATAAAGACCGGTGTGAGGTCTACAACCAGACGATTTCTTTTAATGGTTCAACTGCCACCAGGGGCCACGAATCTCCATTTTATCATCCTGAGAACAGCGAAATTAGGAAAATTCTCCGAAAACAGTGAAAAAGACAAACAGAAAAAGTCATTTACCCTCAGCCCCCCCCCCATTATTTCCTGTCCGATGATTTACATTGTTTCATGTTAAAAAAAGAAGCAAAAACAATATTCTGCCGAAACCTCCAAATGTATCGATTCCACTTACTTGCCAAAGCTTTCTCGTAGTTCTTCCCCATAGAGATGAAGTTCCTGAGGCAAGGGTTAAACTGCTCCATGATCGTCTAAAAAGGCAAAGAGAGAGCGAGAAGTCAGCGACCCGGAACATTCCAGACTCATCCCAATACAGACCTTTCATCTCAAATACATTTTTACCTTTCCCCTCCCCCAACATGATAATGACATTTAAAATAACACTTTTCCATTTTCAATACAAACATTACTTAAGGGTGTCAGTCTGGAGCTGGCGGTCCTAGGCAGGTTGTATGCGCATGCCGAGCACCCCACATGTGATGCCGAACCTCCATAAATTGAAAAGCAATGAATGAAAAGGGGCTAGATGATGCTGGACATCCTCCAGCCAGGAAATGAGGCGGGTTCTATCTGACTTTGCTGCGGCTTCTAATGCACATTGTGAGGCGCTCCCAGTGTGCAGTGACAGAGGAAGAGGAGCGGAGCCGGTACAACTGTGCAAGACTGAAGGGGAGGACGGAGGTCAGATAGGAGACTGAAGGGGAGGACGGAGGTCAGATAGGAGACTGAAGGGGAGGACGGAGGTCAGATATAAGACTGAAGGGAAGGACGGAGGTCAGATAGAAGGCTGAAGGGAAGGACAGGAGGTCAGATAGAAGGCTGAAGGGGAGGACGGAGGTCAGATAGAAGACTGAAGGGGAGGACGGAAGTCAGATAGAAGGCTGAAGGGAAGGACAGGAGGTCAGATAGAAGGCTGAAGGGAAGGACAGGAGGTCAGATAGAAGGCTGAAGGGAAGGACAGGAGGTCAGATAGAAGACTGAGGGGAAGGACAGGAGGTCAGATAGAAGACTGAAGGGAAGGCCGGAGGTCAGATAGAAGACTGAAGGGGAGGCCGGAGGTCAGATAGAAGTCACATTGAAGGGGAGCTTTGGTACAGAGGGGGAGGTTACATTTCCTGAGATATAAGAAATAAATGACACTGTGTGTTGCGGGTTTCGGGAATCTATCTGCAATCGCCGTCTGTGAGGTGTTCAGGGATCTCGGCTCGTTCTCTCTACGAATACAAAGCATTTTCGTTACCTAGGAGACTAAAAGCAGCTGACTCAGACCCCCATGTTCTGCAGCGGCTCCGGCGTGATTCAAGGGAATCTCTAAATCACAATACAGATCATATACACAGGTGACGCCTCGCCCATGGCAAGTCTAAAGGCAAAAAATTCCGTTCCCCCCCAAAAACTCTCATCTGCCAATTATTACTTGAGGACAAGTTTTACCAAAAAGGTAACCAGGGTCAGGAAGACGTCTCACCTTCATGTGATTTATATCCGATGTAAACAGGACGGCAATTTCAAGGCGACTGCGTGGGCGCATTTCAGCTACCCACTCAAATCCCCTCCCCCCCCACTGTATGTGAATGACGATTCCCCCCATTCCAGGACTGGAGCATTCACCAACCGTGCTGCACAGATATTCATAAGGTGCTTCCTCGGGTCATGATGTCATGGCATCATATGACCACAAATCATTATAGATTAACATGTCCTGATACCGGGTGCAAGACGGGTCCCGGGAGGGAAGGATCCCCCTCGGCCGCAGACTGGTCCCGGGCAGGTCGGGAAGGAGCCCCCAGCCGGGTCCCGGGCGGGAAGGAGCCCCCAGACGGGTCCCGGGCGGGAAGGAGCCATGGCTGGAGAGCAGTGGATCCCAGAGATGTCATGGTATCCGCACTGGACCTCTGATTGGCAATTGTGACATTGGGAGCATGATCCGGCCACAATGTATCTCATTTCGGACAGATCCGGAAAGGGTTAAAGAGAACCAGTCGTCTTTTTACTGGCCCGCGGGCTTCAGTGGCGACTGTAGACTTCCATTTATAGCCCTAAGATGGAGTTTTATATTATGGAGTCATTACGGAACACACTTCATAAGATCTCCCTCCAACCTTCTGTGGGCCAGAACCCCTCCTATATCCAATTCACACACCCTCAGGTACAACCAACAGGTCACCTTTCAAAAGGGTGTCAGGACCCCCCCTCCCCCCCCTCGGATCATTCAATAGTAGAGAATCGAATGACTACATTGCTGTGGGCTGCCGTGTGAAGACAATCTCTGGGGGGGAAGCGCCAATTTTTCAAATGAATAAATTCACCACATTCAGCGCAGGACAATAAAAAAAAAAAAAAATGCCCCAAGTTCCA